CATTGGATAACAAACTAGTATTACCAGGGTAGGTTTAAGGTGAGAACAAACAGTTTCTGAATACACAGAGAGATTTGGCCAAGGCTTCAATATACCGTGGTATACGTCATTTAACACTTCTGTACGATACCACAAAAGCCGAGTTAAAATCAACCTTATGACCTGGCAATCGGTCATAAGATCGTTGTCTCCTACACTCAATTTGTCTAGTTAACCTAATATTTTTATACATAAATGTTCTTAACATGTGCGATCAGATTGTTCGAAATGCATTGCGCTAATACTTCACATAATTATGATAACCTTCGTCTACTTTTTACATTATCAAAGTGAGTCAAAGAATCGCCATTAACAAATTGGACAGAATTTCACTGCTACAGGCTAATACTCGTAAATTTACCGGAGAAAATGTCTGTACTTAAGTATCAAATATAACTGTAGAGATCAATGGTTAATAAACTACAACAGTTGGATTAATTTCTGTGGTTACAATAAGACTTTTGTCCTTTCTTGTAAGCATAAACTCTTAGTAATGAGGATTAGTAGAAGAGAATTGTGTTCAGCTCCTAAACTTTAATATATTAACTAATCTTATGATAAGATCTTGGGTCACTGCACTTAAAGACCTCTGCAAATAACTAGTCAGTTCCTGCTAACTGCTCCCTTGGTGCAAGCATCAAGCTAGTTATGATCCTTAAGTATTAACAGACAAGAAATTGAGCTCTACTCCATATTGGTCTTGATATGAATCGCATAATACTAGTAAGATTTTAACCGATAAAATCTAGTTTACAAACTTTGTTATTACCGATCTTGTCAAATAATTGGTATCTAAACTTTAAACATAATATAAAGGGTAGAAATATTCCAGGAAAATTCAGTTATCACCATGTTAAAATTTAATAACAAGTGCAGGTATGTTCAAAAGTTGCAGAGTCACAACTTTTATGTCAAGTTTGATATATACTATTTGGTCCATAAGTACTGATTAATAGATGTCTTGTAATGATGATTTATTCGGTAACAAACTAGAGAAAATTCTTGGAAAATATGCAAGATTACGTGATTGTGGAATATTATGTCGATGTTTTGATCACTGTGAATAAATTTATTTATTTATTTATTTATTTGAACACATAAATATTGGTACAAGAGAGCGCCAATACATATGCGCCACACAAAACAATGGGAATTCGAAGAGAAGTAGAAAGAAAAAAAAAAAAAAAAAACTAAGGAACGCAAAAGAAAGAGAGAGTAATGACGAAGAGGTACAATCAGAAGAAATTTTTCAGTTAAGGAAGATACAACCACTTTTTATGAAGAAAGTAAAAGAAGGTTACAGCAGGATCGCCACTGGCTTCTATTCTGAGCCATATCTGATAACGTCTCTAGCCACTGTGTAGCACCATCTCTCGGACCCCAGCCAGGGAGTCGTGAAGGACCAACACAAGCCAGTCCTTTGCAGCTTTCTTTCATGCCACGACACCATGTCATGCACTGACCACCTCTCCGCTTCTTCCAACCAGTCCCAGAGTCGGCAAATAATGCACGACGTGGAATTCTCTGGGACGACATTCGGAGAACATGTCCAAGCCACCGAAGTCGGTGTTTCAAGATGGTGACACCAATTGAGTTATCATCTCTGTGCCCGAACACACGATGCCGAACCTCTGCATTACTGACTTGGTGTTGCCACTGAATGTCAGCAATCCTTCGGAGACAGCGATGATCGAACACAGAGAGTCGTCTAACGTCCTCAACTCGGAGAGGCCAGGTTTCACAAGCATAGAGCAAAACTGCTCTCACCGACGCGTTGTAGATCCGGCCTTTTACAGCCAGACTAACATCACGAAGGCGCCAAAGGTGGCCCAGATTGGCATAAGCCGCTCTGGCTTTCACTATTCGTGCATTGATCTCATCACTCACACCCCCACCAGCACTTATGCAGCTACCCAGATACACGAACTTCTCGACTACGTCTATCTGCTCACCATCCAGGGTGAGTACAGGATTGGAATCCTGCCAGTCTTGTAGAAGTACTTTGCACTTCGAAGGTGCAAAGCACATACCATACCTACGGACATTGATTGCCAACTGATTAAGTGCGGATTGCATGCCTTGGGCATTATCGCACAGTAAGACAATATCGTCCGCATACTCAAGGTCGAGAAGTCTTTCTCCAGGCAACAGATCCACACCACCATTACTTACATTCATCAGAGCTGTTTCCAGAATGTCATCGATGGCAAAGTTGAAGAGGAATGGTGAGATTGGGCAACCCTGCCTAACCCCACTGCTCGAATGGAACAATGGAGAGAGGTGGTTGTATGCCCTCACTCTGCCTGAGGTGTTTTTATACAGGGCTTTTAGGATGTTGATAAACTTCTCAGGCACACCCTTCTTCAATAGACAATCCCAGAGAACAGTCCTATCCAACGAATCGAAGGCAGCCCTGATGTCAAGAAACACTACGATTGTTGGCCTTTGAAAAGTATGGCGGTGTTCTAACATTTGGCGGAGGGTGAAGATATGATCAATACATCCTCGACCAGAACGAAACCCAGCCTGCTCCTCGCGAGTCAATCTTTCTCGGGTTTTGAACAACCTACGAAGAATGACGGAAGCCAATAGCTTGGACGCAATCGGAAGTAAACTTATCCCCCGATAGTTGTTACAAGAACGACGTGAACCCTTTTTAAAGATAGGGACAACTATCGACTCATTCCATGACGTTGGTACATTCTCTAGTTCCCAAACCTTTGTAAACAACGTCGTCAATTCCTTAGTCAAAAAGTCACCACCATCTTTAAAAAGAGCCGGAGGTAAGTCATCTGGGCCAGGTGATTTGTAACGCTTCAAGAGTTGGAGTTCCTTGCGGACTTCCTCCTCATTTGGTGGATCAGTCGTCACCGGCCATGGAGGGCAGGACAGTCTGACCGATGTTGCCGGAGCAGCAGGCCAGTTGAACTGCCCTTCGAAAAATTCTGCCCATCGTCCAAGACGTCGATGGATGTTAGTGATTGGCATCCCATCACCCTCGCAGATTGTTTCACTCACACCAGACTTCTTGCTGCCAGTGGCTCGGATGAGTTGGAAGAGCTCCCGGTAGTTACCAGATGCAGCTGCTGCTTCCAGCTCATTAGCACGCATCGACCACCAGGCTTCTCGGTCCTTACGCAAGCTTTGCCCGATTTCCTTACGTAAAATCCTTCGTTTATGGTCAAACTCACGGTTACCCGGAGTAGACCGACGGGCTTCAATGAGTTGTAAGGAACCAGAAGAAACCCAGTGCTTAAAAGCGGGACGTTTCGCAAACCCACAACTGACTGTTCCCGCCATTTTCATGGCGTCATGCAATTGCAACCAATGCTCATCTATACTTTTCGGTGGAATGGTAGCTAGCCTAGAGGCTAGCTCGGTTCGATACTTATTTGCAACAGAAGTTGCAACCAGCTTGCTAACATCAATCCGTTGATGGCGTTCACTTCGTTGTCCACTGAAAAGTAAGGCAAGATTGGCGCAGACCAAGGCATGGTCAGAGTCCAGATAGGTACTCCAAAAGGAGCGGCAGTCTTGTACATAACCACGCCAGCGGTAGCTGATCGCGATGTGATCAATCTGAGTCCAGGCTTGAGATGCAGAGGGAGGACGCCAGGTGGCACATCGGCGATGACTGTGCCGAAAGTTAGTGCTAGCCAGAAACAGGTTGTGGTCTGTACAAAGTTGCAGTAGACGGTCCCCGTTATCTGACCTGCGACCAACGAGTCCCCATCGGCCACCTAAACGACTCTCTTCTGTGCCTAGACGCCCGACCTGAGCATTCAAGTCTCCGGCTAGTACTACAATATCTGTCGAACGCACTTTCTGGAGAAGAACTGATAACTGGTGGTAAAACTCATCCTTGATTGCATCCGGGCTGCAATCTGTCAGGGCATAGGCGGAGATGACGAAAAGACATCGTTTCTCACGCCGATTTCTTCTCACTTTGATGGAACTTTCTAATCTAACAGCACATAACCGACTGTTAATGGGGATCCAATCGACTAGTGCTGCCTCAGCTCTAGCGCTTAGTGCGACACCAACGCCAGCAAGACCAGACGAAGATGCCACAGGGTCCCCGGATAAGCGCACGTAAAACAAGCTTTTCGAAGCGACAGATGGAGATCGAATTTGTAGTACTTCGCCAGAGTCTTGAATACGGGTCTCGGATAGACAACACACGTCGATATTAAGACTTTCCAAAGACATAGCCAGCCCTATCTGTTGTCCGACCTGCATAAATGTGCGAACGTTGAAGGCAGCCAGTTTGAATGGTGCACGTGGTTTCAGAAAATCTGCTTCAGTCCTCGTATTCGGTGGTAACATACAATTTTCAACCGGACAGTGACTCGAGAACGTTTAGATACAGTCGGAATTCCACCAAAGACGAGCCGCTGTATAAGTATAAAAGAAGGTGAATAATGTGGAAAATAATGATAATAATAATAATAATAATAATAACCATAATGACAATAATAGTAGTAATAATAATATTAGTATTAATAATGACAATAATTGTAGTGATCATAATTTGAATCAATTGATTGTTTTTCAAAGCGACAAAGGTAATTTCCATGGACATAGAGTTCATTATTTGTGTGTGGGCTGTGATACTGCCCGGGTGCCCAAACCGAAGCAGGTGGTTATCTTAGGGGGCCACTCCCCGAGCCTTTGACCTAAAGGTCTAACCCACAAGGCAGTGGAGCATCGTAAGGAGATGCAGTCCCATGGTAGCCGGTGACCAACGATTGGTTCATACGCCATTCGTTCCCGCAGGATACTGGAGCCCATGTGCACCATTGATTTGGAATCCGGTTAAAGCGCCGGACATTCGCTTTTCGTCCTCTCATTTTCGTAAACAACACCCCCGCCACGAGAAGACAATGAGTAGGACTTTTCTGGCAGAGGCTGTATACGCGTGGCCGTGTGAGAGTATTTCGAGAGGGAGAGCGGACTCTCCCCACTCTCAGCCGTACCAGGGCATTCAGGGGGCTGTGAATAAATTATTCTCAATACTAACAGTAATTTGCACACCGGTACATTTTCGAGATACCATTAATCTAAATTGAGACATACTCTAATAATAAGGTTACTTCGATGTAATTCGGATGAGTTAATTTTACGGCTTTTCGGTATTCAGCTTAAGTAGTTGAAATTCGCTACTAACTATTTACGAAACTAACGATTATTTAACATTCAAAATGACATACTGATTACTTTGTGCTTGTACCAGTTCATTCAAGCATCAATAAACAATGACTCTTGAAAACTAAAGAAAAAGAAAATGTTATTAACACTACAGATAGTCTTTATTCAGTTCAAGTCATCATTTTCATTTCTGAATCCTTACTTACAAAATGCTTTGTGTATGCCACTTATGGCAGGAATGGACATCTTTGTTTAACACTATTTGTGGTTAGTACTAATAAAGTCGAGACTTTAAGTATCCACGTAATCCAAGTTGCTTTAAAGCACGCTTTTTAAACGCTTTAGAAGTAGCGAAGTAGACGTGAATTATAAAACACGTCCATTTGCAGTATGTCAACTAATATATTTATTAAATTGCATATTACATGGATGGAGGTAGTCGGTAAGCAACTTGGAAACTAGGTTTCGTGCTAGTTAGCACTAATTAGCAAGACTTACCTGGAATCTTGAGTGGACTGATGGATCCAATAGGATTTGTATTCACATTATCTAGTAGTACATTCTGAGATTACTGATGAGCTATTTGGGATATGAATGGTCCGTAGGATTGAGATTATTCAATCACTTAGCGATTAAAATTAATTTCATGTTTGTTTGGATCTGAGTGCGATCAAATTTTGTCGACTGAACTAGAATGTGAACATAAGTCCAAGTGAATCGATAGTGTTTAGTTCCCAAAGTTTGCAGATACTCCTTGTTAACGAGTACCAACTAGCACGAAATTACTAACTAAAGGACTGACTAGAATTAATCCAGTCGGGGCTAGATTACCACCTAGTAGACATTATCAAATGCCTAGACCCGTACCGAAACACCGAGAAGCGAGCTCAATGAAATTGATCGGTTTACGCAAACTTGTGACAAAAATACTGGAGATCAACTATTTTAACGAAAATGTTACAGAATGCAGATCTAACCACAAAGAAAATGTTGATGATAAAATCGAAAAACCAACTTAGCTAAAACATCAATTATTTGAAATTATATCAAGTTAAACACACTAATATAATCAAAAACATGACAGAAATATTGAACAAATAACTAACGGGATTACCTAGCATAAGGGATATACGAGAGTGAATACCATGTCAACGACAACGATTGGAGAATGCAAAATATTAAGCAGAGGAGACGAAGTTCCTATATATGTTGGACATTATTACAAATAATATTTACCAGTATTGCGAAGACGATTGTGAGAACCAAACATACCTGAATTGCATTATTTGTACGTAAAAAAAAATAGTGAAAAGGTGACTTTACCAGCATGATTACTGCTGCGAAAATTCTAGTCTCCTGAAACATACGCTTTAACTGATTTACGGGTCCCATCAGGAAAATCGTGCTAGTAGGACTTCAAGAATACATAATACTGATTACCTTCCCAAAGAACATATATTGCCAAGCGTATAAAACAGTGCAAAGAGTGTGATACCTGCTCCAGGCAACCACAAACATAAGGATCCCTAGATCGTAAGCAAAAAAATGTTGTTTTTACCATTAGTGACATCACGATACCCACTACTAAGCATATGATAAACGCTTTTATACGTGTACTCCAGCTCAAAGAACAACCATTTTCGACCTAAGAAGTCGTAAAACTCTCTTCATGCATACGTCTGTGAATATTCCTTGTTCATCATCATCTCGCGTAAACCACTGCTTTACTTTATTCATTGAAACAGCTGGGCAACGCTCCTAGGGTATCGTCCACTGATGGGGGTTGCGAGCACTTGAAGGTCAAACTGTCGCAAAATGATTGGTGCGTCACATCGACAATTCGTGAAAATTTTCAGAAGCGGTCAAATCAAGACATTTTTAGATTTGAATTGAGTTCAGCCACACTGTCTGATAGCGTTCATTCTTCAAGTAACGAAGACGATTCCGTCATGATGATGCATGATATAGGACCTCCTATCCTTATTACTGAAGACTGAAGACCAAGATATTATGTTATCTCGAAGATTTACAAGTTGGGACAATTTTGAGACCTGTTTGAAAGAAGTACATAAGGTAATATGACCTCTGTGGTTAATAAATATTTTTTTAGTATACGCATATTAAGTACGTTATGTCAGTATGCAAAAAGAACAGTGATGATCCAACCCTAAAGTACTTTTTCGTGAGATATATGTCTGTACATATGGACGTAAACGCAGGTCGTCAGAGTCAGATGCTTGCGTTCAGGATGTAGATGATGATAGTAATAATCATTCTTCTGAAGAGCATACAACTTCTAACTCGCCAACACAACCTGGGCAAAGGAGACGACGTTGGTCATCTACGTATGCCTTACTTCAAATGAATTTATCCTTCAGGTCGAAATATTGCCACTGTAAATCAGGATTTTGGGTCCGGACAGTAAATGGTGAGTTGAAACTCACCTCTATTAAAACCGTGCACAACCATCCTTGCACAGAAGGATATATTTCTGTCGATCCATCGAAACGACAGTTGACCTCAAGTGAACGCTTGTATTTAAGAACGTTTCTACTGAGTAATACACCAACTCGTAGCTTACGGTATCTGGTTTCTTTGAAGTTCAATAAACAACTTACCAAGGACGATATCGCCAGAATGCGTTCACAGTTGTACCCAGGTTGTTGAACTCACATTGTAATTAATTGAGTTTAGACACTAAAAATATCAATAACATTTTACAGCGCATTCAAGGAAATACTGAAGTTAAAGTATTCTATGAAAATGGGAACATGTCTATGATTTGCTTCAGCCGCAGAGAGCAAATAGCTGTTTACCACGCGTTCCTATTCTTCAGGTAAGAAATATAGTTAAATGTATCATTAATTCCAGGTTCCAATGTCATTTCGAACTCTTCTAAATGAGTTCACATCTTTTGCAGCTAAAATTGTAGCTGTAAATTATAAACGTGTTCGGACAATGAGACACGAATTTATAGAAGGAGAATACATCCGGTGCTACGACAAGTGTATGATGTATGTTGTTGATCTGCTAGAGAAGTTCACTAGCAACTACCACTCAATCCATGCTCTTAGTGAACCTATGGCAAGTAAACTCATCCGTTCATGCCTCGAAGCATCGGAAGACATTTGCGCACAATTGATGAGTTCAGTCGGTGCTAATGATGAAGCTACAACGTCAGAATCCATTGTTAATACAGACCATAGCTATGCTTCTTGCTAACAAGAAGTTCTAATATTGTAATCTTTTTAGTTTTACATAAATTCATTTATATGGCCATTGACTTATTCTTATAGCGTAACGGCAGGGAGTGTACTGTGCAGTCTTATGTGGCTGTGAGACAGGGATGTTGTTTCGCGTTCTTGTGTAATGATTACCAGTTTGGCGCACACGCGATTAGTCATACTTACCGTTTACCAAATACTGCTACCTTGAACATGGTGTACCATACTAGTAGTTCGAATTTCGACCTGTCACGATAGATAAGAATTGCCGTAATTAAGAGACTGGTGCGTTATAAATGAAAACGTTTACTGAAGTTTGAATCTACCACAAATGATCCATTAATAAATAACTTCTATTTCTTAGGAATTGTTCCCGTTAGGTCTGTGAACACTTGCGAAGCTAGCTGGAAATAAGATAGACAGGAAAGTTGTTTCAGTATAAATGTTTGCCAGAAACCAGTATAAAAACGGAAACCAGTATTCAATTACAGATCGAAAGTGCATTTAGCACACCCTTCCTTTGGATAGTCAATCACGCTTATTTCCTTTATCTCTTGCGTTGCTTAGGAAAGTCTGGGTCACAACATACACGGATTGTACTATTTAATTCTTTGGACAGGTTGCACTTCGGAAACTTAGACGATGAACATATATAAAGACTGCTGTGCGAATTTACTCTGAATCGTCCTGTGTAACCTGCAATTCTTGATGCATATTCTATTCTAGTCCTACGTAAGTTATGAGTAATTGTCATTTACGGCATCAGCACGTAAGCTAGACAGGCCTTGGTTGATTTCCGAAGATCATCACATAGGATCTCACACAATCTAGTCACCTTAGATCAAGATATCTTGACTATGGAATCGTACTTTTCAGTGCTTTGTCGTGACAGCTTTATGTCAGTACTTATTTCTGATATTAGGTATTTTTGCAATAATACCGGCAGCCAAAACATTGTAGCTCCCCAGACAACCCAAAAAGGGAAAATAAAGGGGTAAATGCTTTGGTAGCGAAAGGGGAAAACGCATCAGAATGTCGCCTTTTTCGCCTGTCCGGGGGAAATAATGTGGATAAATTACTCACTTTTCGCCTAAATATCCCCCAAATTACCGAATTTTCGCCTAACTGTCCGCAGAATTGTTTACTTTTCGCCTAAATGTCTGCTGAATTGTTTACTTTTCGCCTAAATACACACAGAACTCCCTATTTTCCATCCACTGACATAACCCCAAAGGTCTACTATGTTCACCTTTATTTTCAACAACAGACCAAAATAAATCTGCAATACAGTGAAAGACCGGCATGTTTTTGAAAAATTTTATTTAAAAGGTGAAGCGTATTATTGTACAACACTAGAGCAGAAGCTTCAGCATCGATTGTTTTGCATATCCAATGCAATTGCTAATTCATTGTTATTTGAAATTATCTGCAAAAGAAGAAACACGTGATGTATTATTTATAAGGAATGTGCATTTATTCAAAAGTTCACTGACACTCAAACACACATTCTCAACACTTCTACAGTTTCCCATGTAAGTAAAAAAGTAAGCTGTTTGAAAAATATTTATTGAAATGTAGGTACAACATCAAAACAATTGCACGGCTATTGAGAATTGAGGTAGTCGTCCCGTGAATTCAGAATTAAAAAAAAGAAAAAAGTCACAACCATTTCTCAATGACATGCTTTGGTACAGCCAAATACATGTGTACATCTACACAAGAGGTAGTAATGCTATCTTAGCTTCGTCTTTGGTAGAATCTCCACATAATTATACCTCTACCGCATGATTATGATTTATTTCCTGCAATACAATCATCTGGTGGCTAATATATCTAACTGTAGAAGGTGATATTAACATCTTAATATGTGTTATTATCATCTACAGCATATACATAATATTTACAACATTCAGGACACCTTATGTTTTCACTATAAACCTATTTCTGCCATAAAAGTCGAACAAAACAGTGAAAATCAGCAGAAATTGTGATAAAGATAGGAAAAACGATAAATCTTACCATGGTATCGTTAGTTGTAACGCAGTTTTCGTAGCCTTGACGACAATACAATTTTTATGACGATATATGCCTGAATCTTCCAATTTCATATAAAAATAAAAGATTTTTCGACCATCAGTGTATACCTAAGTAGAAATAATTGCTAATCTGCGATGCAAACATCGAAAAACTATTATAGCAGCACCTGAATAATGAATTTTCAAGGACTTCACGATACCATGTAACGCAAAATCGAAAAACCCCTTTTTACCTAATTATGAAAACGGAAAATAGACTTTCAAATTTATCCATTATGTATTTCCAAATTTGGTTGTGCACAAAGCAGAAATGAAAAAGTAGCGCAAAAAAGTGTCGCGATACCCCTGGAGCGCTGCCAAACAGCTGTGGAGATGTACAATCGAATATCCGCCAGTCACCAGCACAATGTGCCTATCTCAATATCCAATATTTTCGTACCAAACTTACACAAACCAACTGACTTTTCGTTGTTTCAGTATGGACATATAACCTTTAGCCTGAGAAAGTGTGTTCGCTTCACAAGAGTAAGCCTCATAGGAGGCGGGTTGGTCACTGTTTGAAAAATAAAGAGAAAAATCGATAGCCTGAAGTCAACTGTTTCAAGAAGCGAATAAATAAATAAATAATCTGTTTAACTGGCGATTTATGGGGTGCGTGAAGACAGAGAAGGAGGAATAAAGATGGAACGGCAATGATAATAGTTGAGATAGGTATAATTTAATTATATGTGATAATCATAGTTTTCAGACATGGATCACGTGCATATAGCTCAAGTGAGATATGGCAATTTCTAAGTGAGTGGGCATTTGTTAATTCCTAATTGAAACTATTCTCTGATGGAGCTGCGTTCACTTCATCTGGGAGAGCATTCAATACGCGTCCAGTTATTAGCAAGAAATAGTGAGAGTTTACCTGGTTTTTCGTTGTACGGTTTTACAGAGATTGCCTAGAGAATCCGATGGTGAATTCTTGGTTGGATATTAGTTTTTGGGTGGCTCGCAGTACTTCGTAGGCTATGTGCAATTATCAGATCACTTTTTATTCACCGACACATACTGCTTACCATAAACAATTTACGGCGTTGGAGTCCGTCTCCGTAAGATCACTTTCTTGGGCACATCACCCGCTTAGTTTACTGTCACTACACTTTAAGAAACTTTTTGAATTTGTCGTGAATCCCCTGGGTGTCTGAATAAGACATGTACCGGTGTATCGATGGCTTTTGTTCACTTTTCCAGGATTACAGAGAGAATGCTATTGCGTATCGGTTACTCTTCTAGACACAGTGACCTTAAACTCTTGATGCTAATCAGAGAAATAAAC